GTATGTCTGTTAATGTTTCCCTCCTTTTATCTCTAAAATAAAAAAAAAAATGCAAAAAAAAAAGAAAGTGCAAGTGATCCATCCAGCTGAATGGTCAGAAGAGCCCTACACTCCTCAAGCTGGAGGCGTAGGAGCACGCAGAGGATGTGTTTAGAGTGAGTCTTATTCCTGCTAGTTACTCACTAGCTGTGAATTTAAGCTGCTCAACAACATGTGTGAACTTCACTGTCTTTATCTTGATTTCCAGTGTCAAGAATATAAAACATGTATTATTCTCCCCATTTTCAGATGGGAAGGTTGAGTGACATTAAGATAGATTAAGCTCAAGGTCAATGTATCTGGCTGGTGGTGCCACCAGTCTTTAAACTAGGGTCTCTTGACGTGGGCGCTGTTGACATTTTGAGCCAGGTAACTTTTTTGGTGAGTTGGTGTCTTGTGCATTATAGGATATTTAAAAACAACACTTCTAGTACATGCCAGTAGTGTCTACAGTTACATGTATCCCCTACCCTAGCTAAATAACAAAAATGTCTTCAGACATTGGCCCAGTGTCCCTGGGGTACAAAAAAATAGAACTTTGCCTAAAGTGGAGAGGCACTTTCTAAAGTCCAGGTTCTTCTGGCTTCAAAGCTCATGGTTGTTTCACTAAATCATGTTGCCATACATATAGATCACAGGATTTGTTGAATTCTAAAAAAATCTGTGGTAGGGAAGGATGTAGTTCAGTGGTAGAGTTGTACACTTAACATGCCCAAGAATTCAATCCCCGGCACCAAAAATTTAAAAAATTTAAAATGTATGTAAGCAAGTTTTTTCTTTAAGAAAAACAAATCATCTTGATTCTTTTTTCCTCCAATGAATATGATCATTATGCATATCTACAGTGTAGCAATAAACTTAGTTAATTAAAAAAATAAATTTTGCTAGGTACAGAAAAAAAAGAAAAGTCATATGTTCTACTAGAAATTGATTTAAACCTAACAGTGTCGGGGTGGGGATTTAGCTCAGCTGCACAGTGCTTGCCTGGCAAGTGTGAGGTAGTGAGTTCAATTCCTGGTACCGGAAAACAACAACAACAACAAAAAAACCAAAACCATTGTTTTAATAATAACCTACCACTTTTGTCTGTAGCTCACTATTATTTGTCCATTTGTTTTCCTGAGAAACTATCTTGTAGATAACAATAAGTAAAACAACAACCACTGATAATTTCCTACCACTTTGTCTGTAATTCGGTAAGCCCCCCATTACTATGTTATCCTTCTTTTACTCTTTAAAATAAAATAAAAAAATAAATAAACCTAACAGTGTCGTTTGTAAATCTTGTCGGCATTATATAGTTATCTTCTCTTGATCTTCTTGTGGTCACCATTTTGCCTTCTACTTCCTCCCTACGTCAGAGACCCACTTTCCAAATTAGGGGCAGTACTTTCTGTGCCATTTTTTCCAAAGTCCTTGCCATGCCACTGGATATCTCTGCATGTTTTCTCAAAATATGAAGTCTCCATTTCTCCAGTATGAACATTTTTTGGAAGTATGATTTCTCTCCCCATCAGTAAAGGCATCAGTGGACTGAGCAAGTTGTTAAGAATGCATGATCATGTTGATTTACATTTCATGATGACGGTGACACGGATGGGAGGAAAGGAGAAGTGGTAAGATGGTTGTCAAAATGACATATTCCACTGAAGAGTCAGGGTCCTTTAAAAAACACAGTGAATCATCTCATTGACCTGTGTGGTAGCAAACAGACACATGTGACTACTGAGCACTTGAAATACATGTAGCTAGCCCTAACTGAGATGCATTATAAGCAAAAGTACACATTGGGTTTCAAAGACTTAACATTCAAAGTACATAATGTTTTAAGGTGGAGGAGGATGTAGTTCAGTAGTAGAGTTGTATGCTTAACATGCACAAGGCCCTGCGTTAAAAATCCCTAGCACCAAAAAATTTAAAAATTAAAAAATGTATTTTAATTTGTTACATGCTGGAAATGATAACATTTTGAATACATTATGTAAAATATGTTGTTACAATTTTAAAACAAAAAAATAGTAGATATATGCAGTCATTATTATTTGATTTGGCCAAGGTCTCACTGATATGTTGTATTAGTCCATTTTCCATTACTATAATGAAATACTTGAGGATGGCTACTTTATGAAGAAAGAATTTTATTTAGCTCACAATTTTGGAGGTTAAAAGTCCAAACTGCATGGTGGAAGCTCCAACAAAGACCTCCTTGGTTGTATCACATCATGGCAGATGACATCATGGTGGGAATACATAGAAAAGAAAATGATCAGATGGTGAGACAGAAAGCCAGACAGCAGTATTGGAAGATTAAGTGAGATCCTACAAGAACCCCATTAATTGCTTCCAGGGTATGCTCCTAAAGATACAAGGACCTTACAAAAGGCTATACCTTTTGAAGTTCCCACCTCTCTTCACATAGCCACATTGGGGACCAAGCTTCCCATATATGAACCACATCCAAACCATTACACATGCCTTGGGTGTATTTTGAACAGCCCTAGGAAGGGCTCCATACCAGCTCTCTCAGTGTTAACTACACATTTCCCAACAAAACATTGCTTTGTGCAATGTGCAAAGTGTTTGTGCAAACAATGTGCTTTGTACTGCATACCTGCCTCCCTTCTGCATTTGCCAATTGAACCCCAGTTTTTTTTGTTTTATTTCATTTTTCAGTCATGGTAGAAATTTTGTCTTGCCTCATTTTAAGTGTGAAAGGACAGGTACTCCAATCCTGACCAAAGAAATTAATCATAACCCAGCTGGGGTCTTCTGAGAGAGACTGCTTGACTTACAGAACATGACTCAAGGAAGGGATATTCCTTTCTGTCTCTGGATAGGATGGTTTTCTGGATATGATCTCAGTAACTGCTGCATCTGTATCAGATCCAGACTGAAGAGGAAGCCCCCTTAGCAGAGCTTAGAAGAGCAGGAAGAGAGAACATTGTTTTTTTTTGCTGACATATTTGCACTTCTGCTATGGAAGACTTCTTGGTGTGTGAGATAATATATCCTCTTGTTTGAGAAGTTTTTAATTAAATTTGTCTCATTTGCAGTCAAATCATCCTAGCAGACAATGGAAATACAATTGCACTACCTTGTCAAATGAACTAAATAGTAGTTTCAAGGAAAATATACATTTGCTCAACAAATAATTTATGGAATACCTTTTATGTAAAGGGAGTACATCCAAAAGAATCAGGAGTTTATATTGAGAAGGAACTGTAATATAATATGGAGCATTTTAAGTCACATAAGATACCACAAGATAATGCTTGTGTTATGTAAGTTGTTTCATACTAATACTATTCTGAATTCAGGATACTTAGGAGACAAGTTATTCTGAAGCTTCTAGTAGAGGTATCTTCATGTCTCACTGTTCAGAATTGAGGCACATGCTCATTCATACTTAAAGATGTCACTTTCAAAGGCAAATATCCACTATGACAGATTGAACCTCTGGAAACAACTATGATAGCACACATAAGAGTCAAACCTTTTGGGTCTCCTTTCGACCCTGAGTTGACTATAGGTATCAGGGAACCCCTCGCCTTGAGTTCCTTGAAGTAATAGCTGATAATATTTCAGGCACATTCCAAGCTTAAACTGTTAAACACAGGTGGTCAATCCGGTGCTGGAGGTTCAGCCTTCCAGAGCTCAGGCTCCTTCAGCACATGGACTTGTTATGATTTCCTGTTTACTCTGAGTCACGAAGTGGTTGCTCAGCCACCATACTAATTGAGGAAGAATGGTTCAGTTTATGGGATAAACAGGCAAGTTCTTTGACTCTTATTAACTCCGTGTATAATTGTTATATTCATCCCTTAGAGATGTGGCTATGTAATGTGGGAGATCCTAGGTGAGAATGACAGTCTCCAAAATCATAACAGCCATGTCACCTGACACCAGGCTTGAGGAAGACAGTTTTTAGACACATAGATATGCCATATCTTCTAAATCAGCAACTCTCTGAGAATTTCCTGAGAAGAAACTAGTGGCAAGATAGATGCTTCATTGTAACAGGATTAAAGTAGAGATCAATTAGATTTCTTTGGGAAAGGGAAGCTTATTAAAAGGAAATTATTCAAAAATAAATTTGTAAAGTACTTTCCTTTTCTTGAAGATCTGATATTACTACTTTCAACTTTTTTTTTCAACTCCTTTAGTAACTATGAAACAGTGACTATGAAGTTCATTTTAAAAATAAAGAAGCAAAAATTTATAAAGATGAAGTTACTTGCCCAGGAAGAAAGAACTACTACATGGATAAGGTAGCACTTAAATCTAGTTGTCTATATTCAAAATTCAGTTTTTTTCTCTGAAAGTACAAGTTTAATTGATATTGTACATATTTTTCATAGTCTTCAAAATTATCATCTTTGTAAATTCACAATACTCTATTCACAGTTCTGGAGCAGCAATCAGGAAAAAATATGTAATATCAAAAATAGAATTTGTGTATACTTGCCCTAAAATTACAACCACATGAAAAAATGCTAGATGGAAACACTGAAGAATGAAAATAATTCTTTTTGTAAGGAGCATTATAGGTAATTTTATTCCCTTTCTTTAGCTTCTACTGTTTTTTGGTTTTGCTATTGTTTTGTTATTATTTTGTCATAAGGTTGTTTTTACACAAAATAGTGATGCAAAGCAAACACTGGAACTTTATTCTTTCAGAATCAGATTTTCTCCCCGTTTCTCAGTTCGAGTAAATTGTACTTCTCTGGGAAAGAAGGAACTGTAGGTATTAACATGCTTTATACCAATTGCACACTCTTCACAGACAATTTTTGTTTCCAAAAAATTCAGTTCATTTCTTTGTCTGCAAAAGCCAGAGCAAGAGAGTTACAATCTCTTTCCTGAAGTGTGAACTTCATCTTATTGTGCTATGCCAGCTGCTGTGGATCAGTAGGGAATTGTGTGTAAGTAACAAGTTTCAGGAACAGGGCACTTTCTTTTGATAAAACCACATGATGTGAGTCCTAAGTGAACTGTGGAGAAATGAAGACACTAACACAAAGGCAAAAAACCCACTTAGAAAAGGAGATATAGATATATATATATATCTCTATCCATCCACCTGTCTATCCATCCATCCTTGGAGGATTTATAGTTTTCATCTCTGTCAGTAGGGAAAGGTCTATGGGAATGAGGTTCTCACATAGTGGAAACAGCCAAACAAAGCCCATCTGTCAAGTTTCTCTTGATATATTTGACGGAATTGATGTGCACATTCTAAGGAATAGGGAGGTCTATTAAAGGGGAAGGAGGATAAAAGAAACAATAGTTAACTTGTGGGCTGGGTGACTTGGGCACTTCACAGGAGACAGCCTCTCTGATTTCAAGTTGCTATGAGATCGTCTCTAGGACCTTGGCACTAAGCGGTTACTGCCTTCTGGGCCCAGGACGGGCCCCCCCTCCTACACTACTCACCACTCAAGTCATCTGTGGGGATTGCCTTTATTCTTTCAATAAATATTTGAAGGCTTAGGAGCTGCTAAGTGTTGAGACAGGTGCTGGGAGATTGAACACATTTGTGGTCTTGAACTTATGGCACCTACAATCTAATTAGGAGACAGAAAGTAATCATAAAGATCATAAGAATAAGCCTAATCATAAAAGTGATAAGTGCTAAGCAATAAATAACTTCTAAAACACAAAAAACCCTCACAGTTTTAATCAGTGTAATGATTGGCTGAGTGGACCAGATCATGAAAGTCAAGGAGGACTTCCTGGAGTAAGAGATAACTGAATGAGAGCTAAAGGATGAGTCAACATTAACTAAATGAAGAGAAGGAACAACAGCATATTCTGCATGGAGAGGCAAAGCAGATACCAGGGCCCTGTACGAGGAAGGAATAAACTCCTGCAGGCAGCCGATGTGGAAAAAGTGACACAGGACACAGCTGGTGGGTGCCAGACCACATGCAACACTGAGATGATGGAAGTGGTTTTGTCTTTACTCTAACAGTGATGAAAAACTGTGGAAGCGTTTTATCACCAGATTTGGGTTTTTAAAAACTCATTCTGACTTCAGTGTAGAGAATGGCTAATAGGAGGGTAAAGAGCTCCTGATCTGCTACAGTTTTCCAGGCAAGAAGTGATGGTGGCTTGTGTGGATACAGATAGGGAAATACAGAGAGATTCGTGATGAACTAGGTCTCCTGAGTCACTCCATAAAAACTGAAACACCCCAAAACCAGATATATAAAACCTTTTTCTGCCAATATATTTGTTGGAGCATTGGAGGAAAAGATATGGGAGATACTACGGCTTGGCTGGCTCAACTTCTAACCCAACTTCCCTTAGCGTTCCCTCCTGCAGCATAGAGGCTGGAAAGGTAAGAATTGCAGCCAGATTTATAACTTGATTTGCTGTAAATCACCCTTGCAGCAAGATTGCCAGATATGGTCTAAAATGTATGGTCAGATGCATTTATGTAAAACACACATTTAGAAATGAGATTATGAAGGAGAGCAACAGGATTTGAGGCATACATTTTGCTGGTATTGTTTAGAACAGAAGAGATGTGGTCCTGTCAGTTCTGCCAAATTTTTGTGATTTAAGAGATAGACTCCTGATAGGGCAGAAGCAGCAGCAACCTTAGCAGTCCCATTTGGTAGTTCCTGGCACATAAATGGCTACTATAGGTGGGCTGTTATTGTACTTAGTATTTACAGCAGATAATAATACAGGCTGTATTACCATCCTCCCAGCGCCTATCTCAACACTTGGCAGCCTCTAGAGTTTATAAAGGTAATGAAATGCTTAGGGCGATTCCTGAGGTAGTTCAGTCTTGAAGGAAATACCGTTTCATGGTTTAATGTCTATGACATTGATATCCTTACATGACTGTTACGTCCTTTTGTTTTTAAACATGCATACTTCTATAGTATAACATACTTTTTAAGACTGACTCTCAAATGCTTGGAAGAAAACCATTCTGTTGTTCCTAAAGGTGACCAATCTAGAACATCCTAGAAATATTAAACATCTGATAAAAAATGACTCATTTAGAATTAGAATGAGCTGTTGCCTTTTGTTGCACTGATAGTATCTATTTACATTAAGCAGGAACTGTATCCAAACTAGGAAACCTAACAATGTGTGAACTTCCTGTATAAGGATAACTTTACTGTAATAAATACTCATTTTTGATCAAAAGTTAGAAATGTCAACAAAACATGCAGGAAGTGAGTCTTTCCTCTGAATTCTTAAAATAATTTTTCTCTTTTCTGAACATGTTTTTGGTACCACTCATAGGACTTTTCCACTTTTTAGCTTGTACTGAAGTTATTTTTATCCATGTTTGATCAACCCCAAAGATGAAACTGTAAAAAGCAAAGAAGGCAGGAACACCCACTGATTCATCTTTTTATCTTTTTTGGGGGTGCTGAGGACCAAGCCCAGGGCCTTGTGGTTGCCTTGCAAGCACTCTACCACTGACTTAAATCCCCAGCCCTCATCTTTATATCTTTTAAAATGCCTGCTAGGAATGGTCCCTCACACAAAGGTGGTAGTCAGTTTATATTTAATCAAGGAATTGAATTCTCGCACAGTCCTTGTCATGAGCTAACACTTTTGAAAGACTGCTACGAGGTTGTTCCTATGCTACAGAATAGTTTGATTCATTTTTCTAGCTAAAAGTGAGGAGGGAGATGAGTGGGAGGGTACAGAATTGGAAGGATGGCACTGCTCCAGACAAAGGTTTTCTCCACTTCCCCGAGGCAATGGATATGGCATAAAAAAGGCTGCTTAGAAGGAAGGAGATCCAGCTTTTGGGCTACATGATTATGTTGAAGATGTTGGAAGTCTCTGGGCTTTGGTCCCCCATGCCTCTATAAAAGGGACTGATGAAGTGATGAACTATAGTTTCTTTTCATATGTAATCATAGTTCCAGAATATTCTGGGGGGTTCGGGGTCTTTAAGGTCCTCTAGTCCTGAAGTGGCACTCATCATCCTCTTACAGATCTACTGAAGTGGCCTTCTGGAGCACTATGTTAAGAAGGGTTCTGAAGCCCTATCTGAACTCAGTGAGAAAGTGAGCCTTGACTTAATAAGCTGTCTGCCATAGGCAGAGAACAAAATAACAGCAAATAAGCCAAGCTATGCCATCCCTCACCTAGCCAATTCCTTTTCCACACAGGATAAAAATGAGAATAGAAGCTCATGTTTAAACTTACTATGTACCAGGCATTGACAAATTGCTTTTACACAGTGTTTACTCTTGAGACAATTTTAAGAAGTTGGCATTATTATGATTCTCTTTACTGATGAGGTTTAGGGAAGCGAAATTTGCCTGAGGTTCACACTGTAAAAGCCCCTATCCTTAAGTACTTCATCACACTACCTCCTAATTTGTGGGTATTTGCTATGTGCTGGGCTAGTAGTTTTAAGCCAGAGGTAATTTTGTCCTTCAGAGGACAAAAGTCTGGAGACTTTTTGTTGCTACAGTGGGGGATGAGAGGGTGTTCCTTGCCTATGGTGGGGAGGGGGCAGAAATGTGGCTAAATGTACACGACAGCCACTCACAACAAAGGATGATCTGCTCCTAGCTCTCATAGTCCTGAGCTTGAGAACTTGGTCCTAGGCTCTATGGCAGTTGTTTTCAGAGAGATGATCAAACTCCTGCAGCCCAGTAGATACAATTACTATTTCCATTTTTAGAGTAGGAAAGGTAATCCTGATTTCAGAATCAAGAAGTAGTCATACCAAGACAGGAAGTGAGGTAGTCAGATTCTAGGGGCCTGCTGAGTTCTCCATCTACACTCCACTACGTTCAGCTTCTTTTACTATTAAAACATGTAAACCCAAGCAGCACATGCTCATCTATTTGGAATTTCAGAAATTAAAAACACTGGGACCACTGCAAAAAATTCTTACTACTGTGGGCATGTCTATGAAGATAATATTATTTCAACAGTTCAAAGAAGAGGAGCTCTAGAAATTCTTACTATGGAACCACTGATCTTCCTCTAGTAGACATTCAGATTGTTTCTTTAAAATTAAACTCTGAGGAGAAAGCTAATTTTAGGACATTAACAAGCCTTTTGAAGAATAATTAGCTCTGCGTGGGTTTCCACTTTTTCCCTTTTGATTGTAGGAGCTGGAGAGCCTGGAAGCTTATTTAGGAGAAGAGGAAATGAAACTATGAAAAGACACAGTAAGATTCCTCTTTTTCTTGAAGGCAAGGCACAATCTGAATATGAATAAATCTCTCTTCCTGTCCAATTAACAGCCTCATGTAAGAGGAGGAACACACACACACACACACACACACAGGAGGTATTTGGAAGAAACGAGAAAAAGCCAAGAACAGGATGATAGTTTAAACAAAAAGGTCCTAGAATCCTAGCTACTCTGGAGATTGAGGCAGGAGAATGACAAGTTAGAGCCTTGCCTGACCAAGTTAGGGAGAACTTGTCTCAAAATAAAATATAAAAGGGCAGGGGATGTAGCTCAGTGGTGGAGCGTCCTTGGGTTCAAGTCTTAGTGCTGCAAAAATAAAAAAATAAAAAAATTAGACCCCACGCAAATAAATTTGTATGATTTAAGGCTTGTCTCCTGCAGTAAAACTATTGCTGACAAAAGAGGATGATGTGGTGCAGATGGAGCCAGAGAAATTGAAAGAAGGAGGGAAAATAGCATGAGTTGGGGTGAAGGTGGGGACAGATCGAGCCTCTCTCTCAGGGAAATTGATGAAAAGAGAAGGAAAGGTGGGAAAACTGTGAGTGGTTCAGGCAGCCGGGCCTGGGCTGGGCAAGGTGCCACTCTGAGTTCAGGATGGATGGTTTATATGCCTGCTAGACACGTGTGCATCAGGTGTGCGTGCATGTGTATGTGTGTTGCGTGTGTTGTGACTTAGGAACCTCTGAGTCATTCAATTTGCAATCTTCAACACACCTCTTCGCGGGCCAGTGCGGCCAGCATGACCATCGGTTTGTTCTGCTTTGGCTCTGGTAGACAGGCCAGAAACTGGGCCTCAGCGGATGAATGAAATGCGGCCGGCAAAGCTGAAGAGAGTGCACTCAGCAGGTGCTCATCCTCTTCCCACCTGCTGCACCCAACGCATTTCCAGTCACTAAGGTGACCCCAAGCTATCAGTGGCTTGCATTTAATCTAGGGGTGGAGCCTCAAAGGAGGTAGGAGGAGCCGGTGGACAGGCAAGTGGGACGGACCTCTTTCTCTAACCAGGAGCTTCTGGGTTTTAATTGCAACTACAGTGCCCCCGCGCCACCCCTGCACGGGACTGCAGGCACAGCGCGACCACTTTCCTCTAGTCCTCCCCTGGGGCCCCGGGCACGAATCTGCATGGCAAGTTCTAGAGCGGCCCACACCATTCTGTCCCTCGATGACACGCTCCTATCACCGCGTCTCTTCCCGGTTCTCGGTCTCCCTGCAGCAATCTGACTTTTCTAAGAGGCCAAGATCACCCGGCCTGTTCGGCTACGAGTGTCCTTTGGAACCTTCTTAAAGTAGCCCCTCCGGCGCGGCCCTTATTTCTCGCTTTCCTGGCGCAGAACGCTGGGCCACCGAGTGTCCTACGCCTGGCCTTGCTGCGGCTCTCACCACCCTCCAGCCTCCCTACCTGTCCTTAGATTGGGTCCCAAATCTCCCGAGGCTGCACTAACTCTGCCCGCAGCTTCCCAGGCCATTGCCCCACCTCCTTTTCAGGAGAGGCTCCTGATTGGTAAGGGTGGCGGTCACTCCGCGCCCCCGCCACGTGGCCCCGCCCCACACGCAGGCCCCGCCCCTTCCCCGCCCCTCGCCCCGCTGCTCCTGCTAATCGCCGGGCTGCGCGCGCGAAGTTGTGGGCAAAGTACTGGAACTGGTCTCGCTGTCGCGGCGCCGCAGAACCGGCCCGGACCAGAGACCCGGGCGCCAGGCAGACAGCGCGGCGCGAGCGCCAGCCCCTCCGTCCGTCCGCGAGCGGCGCCCGCGCCGCCT